AGGGCACAGCTGTCTTCTCCATTTGATCATGCATCCTTTTAAAAGGCGTTTCCCTGTTGTACTTGCTTGGCCAAATTGTCTTTGCCAGCTTACTTGAATACTAGTCCATAGTGTTTTGCTAAATGACAGACATCATGCCTCCTGATCTAAAATATCCACAGTTTGGCCCTGTAGGTCCATTTAACATGAAACTGCATCAAGAATAAGCCAGTTGAGGTGATCCTGATGTTACGTGGTTGTTGGATTCAGATTCTGCTAGTGGCTTTTCTTGGGAATCCTTACAGTCGCATGTAGAGAGAGCTGCATTGGCACTGTTTTAAGGAGAAAAAGTGGTTTGAATCACACAGTAAGAATATTTTTGAACCAGATAGGACTGAATCAAGGAGCTTTATGCTTTTAGTTGCAATATATAGCATGGAGTACTGGCAGATCACTGAATCACACATTGGAGTATTTAACATCGCACTGGGAGGCATCTCTGTGTGTTACTGCCTGCTGCTGTGCAAGAGGGAAACAGTTTATAGAGAGATTTTCCATCTGGAAATGTGCTAGGTACACAAACAGAAGCTGTATGCTCCTGTTTGCCATATTCTTATGGCACTCCACAGACTATCCCACATGTGAAAATCAATCAGTCTTTCAGGGAAGACTTTTTAATATAGAATTTCAGGGAATCATTTCTCTGTAAGCTCCTTTCTTTGTATTATGTTCCCATTAAGTCAACAGTGACAAAACTTTGATCTGTGAGGAAAATACACTGAGACAACAATCTTCAACTTATAACATTTCCAGCTCTGGTTGAAGCTGTTGGTAGGTTTAGAAAGACACATAAATGCTGACAAAAAAACAGCTATATGAGGAGGGGATGTTGAACATGTTTATAATTTGACATAGAGAAGTTATGCAGGTTTATCTATACTGTCTGTTTTCTATCTCCAAGGCTGTTGTAGATCATCTAGTCCAGTAGGGTTGGCAGAGGAATCCAAGGATTGTTAGAGTTCAACATTTACACAAAATCCTGTCTTTCAAGATGGACCCACAAAAGCCTCTTGTGGGTTGGTGGTTATTATATTATTGTGTGGATGCAGAGTCAGATCTTGTTGGAAAGAAACTTGTTGGAAAGACCAGAAACTTGGCCTAGGAGGTTGAGATCCTGATGTCTGTGTAGGGACAGCAGTGCAAACACTAAAATTGTGTGTATGCTGGGAATCAGCTTGCATTTCATCCTCGTTTTTTTGTCTCTACCTGCAACTTTTGACAGTCGAAAGTTCAGCATATCCCACTTTTGACATTAATATATATGTGTATAAGCTGTTCTGTTTAGGATTATGTGTTTAGTTTTCTCCTTTCCTTCTTTTTTCCCTCTATTCACAACAGCCTCTCTAAATATAATGGCATAAATTCAGTCATTGTGGAAAGGACTTGTACCTAGAGGATAAAAAGAAAATCTGCTGGAAATAAGCTTGTACCTGATTGCAAGAGTGAGGCAAATGGCTGAAATGCTTTGATATTTCATGAAACTGGGGGGTTTTTTTGGTGTTTTTTTTTTGGTTTTTTTTGTTTTTTTTTTTTTACATTGTAACTTCTGTAGGAGTGGTGGTTGCAGCACTTTGCTATTGTTGCTCTTCCCACTGATGGAAAACAAAAAGTAGCATGGAAGTCATAATAGGGATTTCTTTCCTTTTTATTTTTTTGCCACTGAAATTCTGTTTGTGACATCACTGGGGGGAGGATGTCTTGCTGAGGCTTTTTGTTGGTTTTTGCAATTTTTCCTAAAGAGGGTCAGGACTGGTCTGACTTCTTATGCAGATATGTTTTTGTCATCTCGCATTTTCCATGTATTTTAGTGAATAAATGTGCTTTGTTGTTTGTTTTGGACAGATGTTGGGTCTTGGAATGTCTTTTTTTCTCTGAGTCTTAAGAAAGTTTCCATCCCAGAAACAGTGCTTATGTACTTAAGGTATTATTCTAGAATTGCTGTGAGATTAAGTGGTAATGTCAAAATGGAGGCTGTTAATTTAAGAATCTGTGTTTGGGATTATAGATTTCCTCCAGCCATATTATGAGGGATATCCCCTGAGGAGTGGTCCTTAGATATTTGACTATGAATAACTTTTGGTGCTGAGCTGCATGTCAAAACACAGGCTGTGGAGAGGCTGTGAAGGGGGAGGAAGTGACACATGAAATGTAAATCTCATGTGGAAAAGCTGAGGAGACGAGTGGATGGGATGGCAAGTGATAAGAGAAATGCAGCTGTGGTGGCCATTTCTGCCCACCAGAACCAGTGTTCTGTGTTTCATTTTCTCACACAGCACTTTTTGGTCTCCTTTTTGAGAATTAAACCTAAAGCTGAGTCCTGCAGACCTTTTTTCTACATATCAGAAAAGACTGCTTATACTAGAAAGCAAAGTTATTAATGTTTTTTTTTAATTACAGAATGCCAGAGATAGTCACACCCAACCCAGCAGAAGGGGTGGAAAGCGAAAAAATGTACGGGCTTTTCCTTTGAAATGAAAATATTTCCCTAGCTCTTATAAAGATTTAGAGCTTTAGTTTCTAAGATAGAGCCCCTGTTGTTAATCCCATCTGTACTCTGTGGGATATCTCAAGTGACACACCACTAACATTTGAGGTAAAAATAGGCTCTTTTGCTGAGTGATGGTAAGGAACATCAAGACTTCTGCTGTTAGAATTTATCACATAGTCATGCTCATTTACACGCTGCTCATGCTGACCTATCTCAACCAGCAGAAAACTGTGAGTAGGTACAAAAAGGTTGGAGGACAGCAGCTCTTTATGCTGTGCAAAACCAGTGCTTAAATCTTCCAGGTAGCAGCAATGTAAAAGTGGCTTTTTACTGTGGTTGGTTTTGGTTTCTTTTGGGACTTGTCATTTTTTCTATAATTTTTATTCACTAATGTGAATAAAATTTGTGGTTGAAAATGTTGGAATATCAGTAGCAGGTGAGAGATGCCTCCTCAGAGTACTGTGGAGTTATGTTATATAGATTGATGGGGTGGTATTTGAAAGCATGATGGTTTTCCTTTCAATATATGTAAGAGATATATAGAAATTATTGACTTGGCTTTGAACATCCATTAATTCCCAGTTAGCTTTTACAAATCACTCTTGGGTTTTCTGCTTTTGTCCAGATTTTTTTTTTTTTCACCTGCTATGCTAACAAAAGGCTAACTTCAAGTTAAGGTGTTTCAGAGATGTAAAACACTGTCCTGTCTTCAGCATCCTGCCTGGCACTTTGCTGTCATTCTCAGCTTTGCTTTCAAACCTGTTCCTTACTTTCTTCCCACTCCCTGCCAAAGAATCCAATTGACCTTGCTGCAGGTCATGCGTGTATCAAATATAACCTGACCCAGAAGAATCCATTGCCTCCGTAGCCCCATGGCTGGAGCCAGTGGGATTTACAGCCCACACACACACATCAAAAAATGACTCCTTTCCTCCAGAGAGTCTTTATTTGTTCCAAGTGGAATGAAGCTGTGAGGAGAGTGTGAGCCAAAGCTGCCATGCTGTAGCCAGTAGTCATTTTCCTTGGGAAGTAGGGTATTATCACTTACATCTGATTTAAACATGCTGCATGAATGCTAAGCTGTTACCTGTTTACAGGCAGGTCTCTTTCCTTCCCCTGTTGTAATCTTACTGGTCAAGATACTTCGTAAATTAGTTCCTGATTCATCCTCTATATTAGGTACCTGAAACATTGCACAGGATTAGTATACTCTAGGTGGGAGCAAAAGAGGTGAAATATCTATTTTACTTCACTTGGTGGCAGATGTGGAGCTTTACTAAAGCAAGTTGTTTAATTTAAATTTCTCAACCTGAGACTGAAGTGCCTGCCTCAGAGCAAATCCCTTGTGGAAGATTTTGGCTCAAATCACACCCGATGAGGAGAAATAGGTGGTGGCAATGCAAAGCTGTCAAGCTTTGGCTGGGTTAAAGTTAATTTTTTTCCTAATAGCTGGTAAAGTGCTGTGTTTAGAATTTAGGATAGGAATAAAGTTGATAATACTCTGATGTTTTAGTTGTTACTGAGCAGAGCTTACACTGAGTCAAGGCCTTTTCTGCTCTTCACCCCACCCCACCAGCGAGTGGGCTGGAGGCACAAGAAGCTGTGAGGGGTCACAGCTGGGACAGCTGACCCCAGTGGGCCAAAGGGATATTCCATATCACATGGCATTATGCTCAGTATGTAATGCTGGGGGGAAAGCTGGCCCAGGGCTGCTGCTCAGGAACTGGCTGGACATTGGGTGCAATTGCATTGTGCATCACTTGTTGTTTATTATGTTGTTGTTATTATTGCTACTATTTTTTCCTTCTTTTTCTATCCTATTAATCTATCTTTATCTCAACCCAAAAAATTTACTTCCTCCCCCCAGTTCCTTCCATCCTGCTGAGCGGGGAGCGAGCAAGTGGCTGTATGGTGTGCAGCTGTGTGCTGGGTTAAGCAGTGCCACAGGGCTGTGAGGGTTTATTTGGGTTCCCAGCAGGGGAGCTGGGACAGCCCATCAGGAAGCAGTGGATGGGATCAGCCACCCCTCTGGTGAGAGTAGCCACCTGGTTTGGGACCTTTATCAGGTACCTCTTGCCCCACATGTGCCATGGAACCCACTGGGGAGGACAGGGGAAGCAACAGTGAAATTGCTGCTGCTTCTGCAGGACTGTGCCTGCCTCCAAACCTGTTAAAGGATCTTGCTGGCTCTGGTTGGTAATTGCTCTCTTGGCCCTATTTTATGCCCGTAGTCTGTAAGTGATGGTATGTCATGTTTAAATTGAATTTATCTCGTGTAAGGCCTGCAGGGTACAGTATGGATGCTCCAGCCTCCATGATTATCTAAAATTAGGATATCCTTTTACAATAGATAATGATCATTGTAAGTACATTTAGTTACATTTGTTTTGAAATGCATGTCTTTTAAAAGAACACTCTTTTTTTTTCCTGTTTCATTTTTTTTAAACAAAACCCATTATGTGCTGGCAAAAAGGCATCGGAGGAGGTGTCAAAATCTCTGCAAGCAATGAAGGAAATTCTATGTGGGACCACAGACAAAGAGCCACCCACAGAAATCGTGGCCCAGCTGGCACAAGAGCTCTACAACAGTGGCCTTCTAGTGACACTTATTGCCAACCTGCAGCTGATAGATTTTGAGGTAGGTCATAAACTTCTTTCATCTCCCTGGTCTTGGTGTTGTCAGTGACTAGAGCCATATTTTTCTAAAGTCTAAATAATTTCATTGCGTTCAAAACTGTTTTCCACAGGCTGAAGAAAGTTGCTGCTCTAGATTGGTTGGTGTTCTGAAAGACATGCTCATACACTGGCAGTAAATCTCGGGGTTTTTGTTTGTTTTTTTTTAATTAAAACAAAAACAATAAAGAAATATTGCCATGTGTATCCAGTCAAGATAGGACATGGTACTGGGAATACTGTCTAGGACCAACCTTGTAAACTGCAGGGATGATCTTTGGGATACTGCAGCTAGAGCTATCTGCTGTCTCTGAAGAGTGTCCAACTTAGAAGGGGTTCAGGGACATGGAATAAAAATAATTGGAAGCATGGAGAATTTCATGTGTCAAAGACTGAAAGGATTAAAATGGTTTAGTTGAGAGAAAAGGAATTGAAAAACATGTTAAAAACAGACAGCATGTCACAAGGTAATTTGGGTGTTCCCCACTTAATTGTTTGAATTAAAAGAAGAAAGGAATGTAACTTTTATCTCATGGTAGAAAAATTAATATGAATGTATATGTATATATTATTTAATTTTATATATTTATATATAAAATGATATATTCTGTGGAACTTCTTTCCAGCTTTGTTGTTAAAGCAAAAAACCTAGTAAACAACTGCTATGACAACTAAACTTGCTTATAACTAATGAGAAGAAGAGTTATAGCAGCAGAGATTGCAGTAATTCAGGATAAATATCAACATGTTAATTTACTGTTGACCAGTAGGGATGGGAATAAACTCTGTCACTCTCAGGTCATTGTCATTCTTGTGGTTTGCAGTCAGCTGGGATAGTGGCCCCCAGGGACTGCTGTTATGAGTTCCGTGATTTCTGTAGCTCCTGGACACTGGTGATTCCTCAGTAGTGTCTGACCATCAGTGGGAAATCCTCAGCTCCCGGGAGCCAAACCTCCACCACTGAGGTCTGGAATAGGAGCAGTACCCAATGTACAGGCAGGTGCTGAAGAGAAAAATTGGTTTTTCAAAGAGATTGGATGCTCTCAGAGACACCTTTTCTGGGAGTCATGTGTAGAAGTTATTTTCTTCCCATTTTGTAAATGAATGAAAGAGAGGAAAATGGGTGATTTACGTTTTATTTTTCCCACTCTGTCCCCTACCACCAGTAAATCCAGGATCAGGGACTGATTTATTTATTTTGTATTAATTTTTGAAAAAGTTTTTAGTGGAATTCTCTCACTCTTGCTCGGGTCTTAAGTTCAGGAGATTTTTTTTTAATGCTTTGTCTTCTCTGTGACTCCTCTGGTTGCTGTAAAATGTCTAATTACAAAAATATTCAAAACCCAACAACCCAAGTCCTTAAAAAACCCTTTAAGAAAAATAGAGAAGAGGGAAGGAGAAGATACTGTTAGCACAGAAGGGACACTTCTGCATTTTTTTAGTTACAAGACAGTCTGTATTACTTCTGCCAGAAAAAAAATTCTGTATGAGCATATTGTACATACAGTCCTTAAAAGCAAGCACTGGATGAAATACCTAGTCTGTTGTTGAATTGCTGTTGTTACAAACAATTCTCATAATTCTTATTGCAAAATATATTTTTTTTGGTTGCAAAAACTTTCCAATCATTTAGACAAGCTGTTATACATGTTCTTTGGACAAAACACTAGAGACCAAATGTCACTGAACAAGAGGACAGTAAGAGTATGTGCTGCTTTGTCTTCATGTCTTCCTACTGACTTTTCCAGTTTATCAACTTTTCTGTTTCCATTTTGTTATATTGGTGGCCCCAGCTGGTATTTAAGTTTCTTCTTTGAACAAACAATTTCATTACTCTATAACATGCAAAGTTAATTTTTTCATCCATATGTAATGGTAAAAAATAAATCATTAACTACTGAAAATCTGATTTCTGAAGGCGATAATGTTACTTTGCTTTGTCTTGATTCCCTGTGTCTTCCTCACCAACCCTTCTGCCTACTTTGATCCCAATTTTTCACAGCTGAGCTTCCCTTTGTGTTTTCAAAGACTGTGTAGGGAAGACTTGTACACATCCATCACACATCTGTAGAAAACACAGGTTTATCACTTCTGCCTCTCAACAAACAAGATATAATTTCAGTGATGATGTTGTTATGAAACATTAAAGTCGGGTTTGGGCAGGAGCCCAGAATCAAGATCAGACTGGATTTTTAGAAATTTAAAATATGAAATTTATTTTTGAACTTTGAAGAGCTGAGGCAAACGGAAGAAGTCGACTAAAAATGTAGATGTTACTGTGTATAAGCCTAAAGGTTTAAAAAACCTTTAGCTTTACCAAAGCTCCTAATAAATAACTACAAGCCCAGAACTGGTGATTTTATAATCTTTCCCTTACTTTGCCTTGAAACAGGTATGGGTGTTATACAAATTTTATTTATATAATGCATCCTTGGCAGGTTTTTTTGTTCCTGTCTAGCCTCTTTCTCTTCATGCTGCCTTATCTTTTCCTTCAGTGGCCATATGTGTTTCATTATAAGGCAAAATTCAATTGCGGATCCAAGTAAGGAGTGTTTTGAAAGTACTCCCACAATTTTAATGTATGTCAGGTGGTGAGGGAAATCTGTCAGGGTTCCCTCCTATCTGCCTCCATTCCCTCCTGGAGAACCATGGAAATCAACTCTGGCTTTCACTGATCTCTAGAAAATTAGCTATAATTGGATACATATATCTATATATCTATATCTATCTCCTCTCTGCACATGGATATTATGCCGCAATGCACACAGTATTAAGTAACTAATATAAAATCTGGCCTAGCAGAGAGGATCCCTTAATTTCTGGCCATCTTTACCTCACTCTTTCAACAGCTCTTCTCTGTCTGAAGTGTTTTCATCTTGGAGCAACTGCTGAAGCCCGTGGGGATTGCAGGATTCCAGGCATATGATATGGGTGTTATAAAGATACGGGAGAATGGGATGACTTTATACAGAATTAGCCTATTTGAAATTGCGTCCAAGGGTCAAAAAAAGTGTTGCAGACAAAGGCAGATGGACTGGCCTGCTCTGATTTGATTCTCCTGTTTAATTCCCAGAGTCTCCAAGTCTCCAAACCAGCTGGGCTGGAACAAGTAGGAAAGCAGAATATTTTGTGTTCCTTAGCACTGATTTATTTGTAGAGGTGAAACCAGGGAATTTTCCTCCATGTGAAACTATCTGCTCCTTGGCTTCAAACATTCAATAAATTCTCTGCCAAGGAATGTTTGTCCTCCCAAGACAGATCAATGAGCATGTACAGATTATAAGTGACCTTTTGCTTTAGCTTGCCCTGTGCATAGTGACCAGCTGTTGACTCAGTGCCTTGGTTACTGGTCCTTAGTGCAGCCATCTCCCACCTCCCTTAACTTCACACATCAATTTGTCTGCTGTGCAGGGGAGGAGGAGGATTTCTAATGCAAGAGGTATTGGTGAGCCCTGTGGCTGAATAGAACATGATTTGGAAAGACCTTCTGGAAAGCTGTTTGCACAGGGAAACATTTGAAGACAAAATGTGATTGTGTAAATAGGTGCATACAGCACAACATTAGGACAAAGAGAAGGACCTCAGTTTTTATTAAAGCAGAGGCACGTATGTGATGCAGCTGTTTTACTGGTAGTAGTTACTTCATTTTCCATGGTAAATAATGGGCACAGCTTAATTTCAACCCTGATTTTCAGAAATGTAATCATACTTGGAATTGTTTGCATTTGACTAATGAAAAGCTTTAGCTTTTTAAGTGTAGGCAGTGTGGCAGTGGTTTGGTACCAGCTCGATTACTCACATTTGGAGGCTACGGGAATAACAGCACACACGGCAACAGCACGCTTGGCTCGGGGTAGTGGCTTGCTTTCACGGTGCTTTAGTCTTGCTGCTTGAAATAGCCAGGGACTTGGTTGACACTGTAAGAGGAATGCACATCTTCATTTAGTGGAAAAAAGGTGCAAATAGGAGTGGGGAAGTCAGGAGCCTTCAGAGCTGCCTGGAGGAGGAAGCTTTCTTCTGGAAACAGCAAATATGAGGCAGAGACATTATGGAGAAAAAAATAAAAGGCTGACCTGTTCTGTTTTCACTTTCATTTGTACTTTAAATCAGTATTATAGTAAATGGTTGTTTGCTCATGTTTTTCTAAGCAAAGATATATTTTGCTTCTTTAACAGGGCAAAAAGGATGTTTCCCAGATATTCAACAACATCTTGAGAAGACAAATTGGCACACGCAGCCCTACTGTGGAATACATTAGTGCCCATCCACATATCCTATTCATGCTTTTAAAGGGGTAGGTGCTTTGAGTTTCATTTAAGAGCATTGCCTGGAACATGTTGGCATTGCAGTTGATCTACTTTCTCACTTTCATTTTTTTTTAAAAAAATGGATTTTAAGATTTTGTTCCTTATTTCTAACTGTATTTTTTTTTCATATTGACTTTCTTTCTATGGAACTCTATAGTTGTTAATGATCAGGTTATTTCATTTGGCTGTTATTTCTTCACCAAACTTCATGCTGAAATAATTATGTGCTGGTTGTTTTTGACTGCTCCCCACATGATATGTATTTAATTTCTCACCATAAGCTCATGTGTAGCATAGCTGGTGACTGCTCAGGTTCATTTAGACCTTTTTGCATTGCAGGAGTGACCAACAGTGGTGTCTGTAAATAACTGGAGTCAAACTGGAGCACTGTGCGGTAGAACAGAGAGAAGCAAAAATGCATTAAAAAAGTAGTTGTGCCTGTGGGACAGACTTCTCCAATGCTTGTGGCCACAAGTGAACTTCAACTTTAAATTATTTCTGTAATTAACTCCACAACTTTCAACATTAATTTATTTTTTTTTTTGTCTTTTCAACCTCAGGACAGTGATGATAATTCTCTCATCATTATTAAAAACTATTTTTAACTTCATATGTATATACAATCATTTTCTTCCCTTTTCTCTGTCTTTGCTTTTTCAGTTTTCACTCATTTTGATCTTGCATGTTGAGTATGTATCACTACCATATGTCTGGGCTTTATTTAAAGATAAAAAATATTTTTGGATTATGTCCCAGATTTTCTTTGGCATCTGTAGCAACCAAGAATATTAAGATGATAGTAAAGTTTTTATGCATATGTGCTTTTGACAGACATTTTACAGTAAGTGACCTGAGTCAGTGGATGAATTTAAATGACGTCACTTAGATTCTTTTTTTGGAGAATGCTGCTGCATGCAGCAGCATGTCTGTGGTCCTTGGGCTCCTTGTTCATGATGTCTTGTCTAGCCCTCTTTAGCCCTGCACTGGTTCAGAATTGCCATTTCTGGAATGTCTTGTTAAAAAAGTGCAGTTGAATCCATCAGCAGAAGTCCAGAGTCAGTCCTGCCCAGCCTGAGCAGCTGCTGCAGAACATGCTGCAGTAATGATGTCAGACGTGATGATGCCTTCCCTGCCTGTGTTCTGCTGCTGGGACTGTCTGAAAATGAGACCTAAAATCTGTGCCTGCAGCCAGAGCAGGTCCCTGGACACACAGCTTGCTGCGTGCCTACAGCGTGGGGTGCGTGTGTACAGTCAGCTGTAGGACTGGGAAACAAGCACCTCGTGTTAGACACCATCATGTGAAAATGTGACTTGAGGACATGTTTTCTTATTTATTTAATTCTGAATGAATTATATCCTTTATATTATATAGCTTTATATTTATATAATGCTACAGGAAATATAGGAAATCAAAATCTGCTTAAAGGAAATGGGTTTGGCTAACTTGTGCCATTTTGTGTTTGTTACATGACATCACGACATTACCTGGAGAGAAAAAAAAATCACCTCTACCATGACTATAAAATAAATGGCCCAGGACTACTGTGAACATTGTATTTCTATTGGATGCAAAATATCCTCTGCCCCCGTCAGTCCCCAATAGCAAAAGGTCGCTTTTATGCGGCTCAATGTGAGCTCTCTTCAGTCAGAGCTCCCACCCAGTGTTTCCTGTCTCAGACTGCAGTGGAACTGCCAGCTTGAGATAACAGTTCCTACCTTTTAGGCTTTGTTTTACTTGTTGCCTGCTTCCATCTTCTCAGTTTCAGAAAATACACAGCACATAGTTAATGTCTTTATTTTCTTCCTTTCGTTCATGTAGGTGATCTGACTTTGCTGCTGCACGAGGACTTGCTTTAATAGCATCTTATTTTCTGAGTGCAGGCTTTGTGTATAAGATTTCAGATGAGTACAGTATTTGGTGTACACAGAGAACCAGGTGTATTTGGGCCAATTTTTTTCTCTGGTGTCAGCCTATTGAATTAGCCCAGAAATAACTTTGGTCCTTTGTAATTTAAAATATTTTCCCTCTAGGTAAGTGACTGTTGAGGACTTAGTTTATGGCACTTGCATTGTCTCTCTCAAGTTACACATTTAGAAGCTTCTTTATGAATATATATATCTATATAGCTCATGCCACATGCTATCTCTACCCTAGACACTGCTTCACCCTGTGTTGTGATGACCTCTTCATATCACAGTTAGATAGTTAGGCCAGTTAGAGCTTTAATGGTATATTGGCTGAGGTTGCAGAATTCCCCTTGAGTTCATCCAAGAAGAAACTCAGGCTATACAAGTAGCGTAAAGTCAGATCAGAATATATCTCTTTAACACCTTGTGTCTCCCAGCCTTGATGCCTTCCAAGTCTCCTGTCTGTGCTCCTCACCTTGTACCATCTTCACTAACCATGGAAGAATGATTCCCTTTACACAGAAATGCATTTCTGCTCTCAGTCTTGCCTCTTTCAAACTCTACAATAAGTGTTTTGAAAATACTTCAAGGCCATTGTTTAATTTTCTAGTTGTCTCCAGTATTCACTGTGTGGGGGTTTCTTTAGATTGTAAGTTCATCCAGACAGAGAAGAACTCAGAATTTTTTCTGCTGTGGGAATTAATCAGCATAGAGCACTAATTGCTCATTAAAAGTGATTTAGAAACACATTTCTATCATTCCTGCCTGGTGGCTGTGCATTTAAGTGTGGGTGCAAAGGACATACTTGCTATGACTGGGCAGCCTGTAAACTTCTTTCAGGCTTATTCCAGATGCCAAACTCAACTTCCCTTGCTTATGTGAACAGCCAAAGGTCCATAACCCACTTCCAGATAATGGAGCATTTGACTAAGAATGATTCTGTTGATACTTAATGTTTTTAAAAGTTATTGTGCTGGAAACAATGTAATTTGCTTTTACTCCAACCAAAATATTCATTAGCCAACTATTAAATATTTTCCTGGCTGCACTCCTAGGAGCAGCTCTGCCTCATTTCTCTTAAAAATTAATATTCCTGTTAATAGAGTTGATGCCTCAATAGGAAACATCAGTGAATTTCTGCTGTCTGTAGAGCTAGAAATTCAAGTTTGCAAATGCTTCCCTAAACTAAAACAAATAGGGGCTTGAGTGCCTGCATATCCTTGAGGGTGGGAAGCTTCATTTGCCTGTTTGGAATAGCAATCCATTTTCATTAAGCCAGCTATTGTTGACAGCAGGTTGAAGTATGCAGCTCTGGTATGCTCGCAGAACACTACCATTCTTTTAAATTGCATGCTGGTGGTAAGTTTGAGGGCCCACTCACTTACAGCACAGATGGCCTTTTGTATTTTTCTTCCTTTTTTATAATTGTATTTCTTTTGGCCTAGTGATAGGAATTAATTGTGCAAAGGAAAAACGATGCTGATAAGCTCTGGGTGATAATACACAGTTCTGATATAGTATAACCAGTTTATTGAAACAGAGAGTGCTTTCTGTCCCCCTGGACTTCACCACTTTCACATGATTTCTGGCAGACTGCTGGAAGAACTTAATTTTAAGTCCTACTTGACTGTTGGATTTCATCCTTTTTATTTTTTAATGTGTTTCTAACAGTTTTGTTTCAGATTAATTTCAGCTTTAAAGAAATCAAGACTTTACAGAAACTGAAGATGATCAGAATTGCCTCCCTCCTCCCTCCCTCCTTTCTCCAAGGGCAAGATATGTGCTGGCTCCTGGCTATTGCAGTGCATGTGCCATAACAGGATTGTAACTTGAGGAATGCGTGCTTGTGTCCAGAACACAGACAGAGCCTCTGCAGAAGAGGAATTGAGCAGAATTCCTGCTAAACCAAAAAAAAAAAAAAAAAAAAAAAAAAAAAAAAAATCCGACTTACAGAAAGCTTAATCCTGTGTAGACTGACTGGAGAGACTCTTCCTGCCTTCCTCATTAATACTCCAGAGTGATGTCCTCTAGAGGACGAGTGGGAGGTGATGGATGGTCATGAGGTGTTACAGTTTTCTTGGATAAGCTGAGGAGATTTAAATTCTCAGAATTAAATCTGAAAAGGGAGGTTATTATATTGTACAGGCTGTGCTTTCTCAGAAATCCAAAAGGGTGAAGGAGCTCTGTTGAAATATTTCACAGTCCCCATGGTCTTTCCACAGAGAGGAGGTGTAGTGCAAATTTACACCGAAATGTGTTTTGACTTGGGAAGAGAGAGCTTTGCAATGAAAAATTCTGTCAGCATTATCTGTGTGTCTGCTCCTGAGCTTTGGGATGAGGTCCTACAGCTGGGTATGGCACTGTGGCTGGGAGCTGCCCTCCACGTGTGGTGTCCCTTCTGGCACATGTGTTCCCTGCACCACAAAGTTCCCTGTTGCTAGAAAGGTGCCTGTTTATCTTTGTTCTTCTATGTTTTGATGTTTTCTGTTTCTCTTCTTTCTCCAGATATGAATCCCCAAATATTGCCTTACGTTGTGGAATTATGCTGAGAGAGTGTATCCGCCATGAACCCTTGGCCAAAATCATACTATTTTCAGAACAGTTCAGAGACTTTTTTAAATATGTGGAAATGTCAACATTTGATATTGCTTCTGATGCCTTTGCTACGTTCAAGGTAAATTATTCAATATGTGCATCATAGTTTATGTCAAAAGCAGCACTCCACCAGAAGTCATCACTGAGCATTGTGCTGCTTTGAACTGGGTGGCTTTTTTATTGTTCAGTAAAGGATGTAATTAATCAACCCTTGGTCTGATTGCAGCAGGATTCACAACAGTGATCAAGTCTGCAAAGAATCTTTAGAGAAATGTAAATCTCTGTTTAATGAACATTCTTCACCTTGACAAACCCATGGTCTTTCATGCTACTATTTAAAACTCAAATTAATCATGTATTACCTGCAGCTCTTGTAAAATGCATTACCTTTTTCTCTCCCTGCCTTCCCCCAAGACAAACCCGCTGCCCATCATGACCACATGAGTAAATAGAAGGCACCATTTAAAACTAACATTTAAAATCATTGTAATTTTTGCTGTCCCTTCTGAGCTCAGCAGTCAAGTTTAGATTAATGCTAAGCCTGCTGATTATTTTACAATGTATTCATAGTCTTTTGTGACCCATGGTTCAGTGTAAGCTAAAAGCAAAGTAGGTGGAAGCACTGCATAGGCTCTGTGGAGTGCAGAGTGTACTGTGTAGAGTTTGTGCTGTATTAAAAATGAGGTTGGGTGAAGTTGCCAAATTTCTTGGAGTTTGTATGTGACCATCATCCTTCCCACCAGGTGCTAGTAGAGTCTTTGAGGAAAAAAAAATAAATTGATGCCTGTGAACTTCACATACAGGGAAGATTAATTTATTTCTGAAAAACAGCTTAAGAAAGCTAAGGGAAAATCTTTTTAGTTAAAGACTCTTCTAAATATAGATGTGACTCCTTTTTTTCTTCTATCACTGAGCTCCCTGCTGTCATGGAAACACATTGTTTATTCTTTCCTTTCAAAGCTAATTAGAAACATGATTAGATAGACCTCAGGAGTAATTGTAAGGCATGTTAGAGCTCAACTCAGTGATTCTATATACACTGAAACCTGTCTTTTTGCTGGTGTTTACAAACCTACTGAATGGGATAAGGATTTGCATAATGGAGATAACATTGCATTCTTCAGTAATGACTTGAGCAGGATTAGCAATTCAAATCACCCCTTAATCAGTTGCAACATCTTTCCCTTATTTTAAGTTTTCATTGTTGTGGTGTCCATTAGGTAAAGGTCATGAAATTCAAAGTAGCACAAAAACACAGGCCAGGTATAAAAATGCAACATAACTGAGATATTTAAATCTTCTGTTTCTGGTGCTTTATTCTATGCTCAGAAGAATATTTGTCTCTGGTCAGAAAAAGTGCTCCTGGACTCGATTCCCAGCTTGACAGAAGAGATTTGCATCTTCTCCACAAGTCCTACTTTGATAAGGACAGCAGAGTGTGTTGGTGGTGATGGACAGTCTTCACCCCAGCCAGGAGGCAGGATGGGGACAAGGGTGAATTAAGCTGTGACAGGGACTGTAGGCCGTTACAGCCCTCCCAAAAAAAGAGGGGTGGATATTGTTCACAGATCTACAGCTGTAGAATGTACTTCTGTCCCCTGTGAACGAAGGGTATTTTTAGCAGGATTTAAAAATAGGATTCTACATCCTCATATGCACTGGAAAGAGAGGAGTATGAGGGCAGTTCATCCTCAGACAAAGGACAGAAATCGCCTTTTAAAATGCTTGGGGGAAATGTATAAACGGCATTTTTAGATTTTTTTGAAATTGCCTCTTAGCACCTGATACATGGTCAGTTCTGGAAATAAACCAGCTGCTCATCTCATCTCATCTCATCTCATCTCATCTCATCTCATCTCATCTCATCTCATCTCATCTCATCTCATCTCCTGTTTGTCTGTTACTCTGAATAGCTGGAACAGCAAGAAGTGATGTGGAAGTGATTGAATCATGAAATTTGGAGCTACCTCATTTCTAATACTGGAAAAATAAGTGCTGTGATTGTTTGCTGGCTGGATTACTGAACTCACGTTTTTCGTTTCTGTTGTCCCCATGTTGCATTTGCAATTGCCACCAGGGTGTCTGGTTCTGAGCTGAAAGCCTTGGATAGTCTATACACCAGAGGAGGGCTTAATTAAATGTGCATTAAAGTCTGAGGATATTTATAGTAGGGAAGCACTGGAATTTTTGATGATCTGGAGATGTACTTCTTATTTAAAGTTATCCAGGTGCACTGCAGAGAGGAGACACAGCTGTTAAAAAATGAAGAGGGCTTGTATTTCAAGGTATAAGCTGGGTGTGGAGGGTGCAAGCAGCAGCTGGAACAGGCTGGCTGAATGCTGCTGCTCCACACTTCCTCGTGGAGGAAGCTTGCTTTTTATTTCCTGTGAAAAACTCATTTTGGATTATATTTCATTTGTGCCCCCTATTGAAGGACTTATACTTGCCTCTAAGTGCCCTGCACAAAAGCTCCTGAATCACGTGTTTCACTCAGCCTTTAAAACTGCTGTCACTGCAGTCCTGCTAAATGAAGGGATGTATTTAAAACAGGCACTGGATTTTGTAACTCTCTGCTTTCCTCTTATAATTGATGGTAAAAATAAATTAAAGGATTAGTATGTGAAGGATTTCTTTTATCTGGGAGGATGTGTCTGTCCATCTGCTAGAGCTCCTCATCAGCTTCAGTCTCTGCCTGGGTAGGGAAACCAAGAAAAAGATTATGAAAAAAGCAGAAACTGATTCACTGAAAAATACCAGATTGAATGGACTTCATCAGGCATTTCTTGTGACCAATGTTATGTTTTAAAATAACCACTAAGATAAAAATCATACTTAAATGTCTCACACTGGCCACTCATTTTGTAGCTATTCATCCAGCTGAAAGACTCAATTTCTTGTGGAGCTGAACATTTGCAACTCTGTCACCGAGCACCAGGATCCCCATTCTGTGTGAAAGGTTCTTTTAATTTAAATTTGGATTAGTTTGCCTTCTGTAATGGGAGGCAGTCTGTCCAGCTGTCTGAAAGGTCCACTACTGCTTTGTGTCAGAAAGCGAACCTTGGGCAAGAAAAGCTCTACAGAAGGGACTCATCCCACTTACCTGAGACTCCTTCCAGGAAAGGGAGTGGAGATGGAGGGAGCGTGGATGGCTTACATTAGGCTGGTGCCTAGCTTTCTTTATTAAATTGTTGAATGTATATAAAGTGGTTGAATTTGAGTTTTCCGTGTTGTATTCTTGGAGATGAGCAATAGCAGTTCTGGCTTAGCATCATTCCCAGCTGTGGGGTAGCATGTGGATCACTTTTGGCTTGGAGACCATAGCTCATCCTCTATAAAGGATTAATTTAATTTCTTCCTTTTCCCCATCCCTGTTTAATGTGAATAATGTGCATTGTGACCTATCAACAACAAGAAAAGGGAAACAGGAATAAAAAGAAAGAGTATTAGAATAGCTCTATATTGATTCTGTTAGCATTAATTAACTGAGTTCTCCCTAAAGTCCTACTATACGCATAATGAATGCAACGTTGTCTATGGAAATTATGTTGTAAATGCCTTCTGGTCAAAAGTGCTGAAATACATTTGAGAATCAAGGGACAATCAAAGGCACTCGCTCTCTCAGGTAACCTTTTTCTCTGTTCTTCCCCAGGACCTGTTAACACGACACAAATTGTTGGTGGCAGAATTTCTGGAACAAAATTATGATGTAGTAAGTATCAACACTAAAAGTCTTTTTAAAAAATCTGTTCTGGCTTGGCTGGAAAAAAATGTGCAGGTGGTTTCCTGCTCTGCATAAACTCCTCACACAGAACTGCAAAATCAAACACTGCTTTGTAGTGGAGCAGAATCCACGCCTGGCCTGTGAAATGCAGATATCCTCTCTGCCCACACCTGGGGACAAACACCAAGGTTTCAGGAGAACTCATAGGTTAAGAGCAAGTTTTACTCCTTGCTGTGTGCATTGGATCTCCTCAAGTGTGAATGGAACTGAAACTTCCTGTGTAAACAGATCATGGGAGAAAACTTGTGCATGTTTTTAAACAGTTTTGAGATACCCCAGCACCGACAGGGCCATACCAGTGTTATTTGTTGTACTTTGGGACAGAGGAGAAGAGTTACTGAAACAAGTTCTGGCATTACTGGGAGTTACATTTGCCTAAATGAGGAACTGAGGTCAGAGTATTCCTATTATCTTCCTAAGGCAATTAGTCCCTTAGTTAGTTGCTGTTTTTCATCTTGATTTTTTGGCTCCCTTTTGGACCAAATGTGGGTCAGAAAAATTTCATTGGATTCAACTAAAATTGGATTGATACAGATCATGGAATTAGACTGTGGGTTATGTTTTCATGTTACTTGAGGTATTCTTTATTTCATTGCCAAAATGAAAAGACAAATTTCTTTCATTCTGATTACCAAAAAGGTTAAATAAAGAGCAGGCTTATTATTGCTGAGTCACTAATGCAGCTTAGCTGGAGCAAAATAAGTGTCTCCGCTAATCTTTTCTCTGAATACTGAAGCACTGCACTGGAACAGTCCCCATTCTACATTTATATGACATTTTAAATTTTTAAGTATCAGTTGCCTAAGCGAGCTGGTTGTTTTTTTTTTTTTTTGGTGACTATTGGACAGCATTGTTGATTTTGCCCACTTGTTGGGTAGATGGTTTGAAGATACTGCAGCCTTTTCTCTCAGTCTTCCTGAGCACAAGATCCCCTTGGTCATCCCTGCAACAGCCAGCACACACTTTGCTCCTAGTGACGCTCCCTGGGCAAAGTGCTTTACTGAGCGAGGCTGCTGAAGGCAGGTGAGGTGGCACCTCACAAAAGGAGCATTTGGGATGCCCCATCACCATTTTGGGGTGTTGTATTAAGTCACGCAGCCAGGCATGACCATGATCTGAGTGAGTGGATGTTATGTGCTGGACTCACATGTCCTGGCAGCAGAGTCACCCTTCTGTAGGAGAAGGCTGTCCAGGCATACTTCTATCCCAGTTGGCTCACACCACCCCCTGCTCCATCCAGTCCATATGTGGTATTCCCCATCTGCAGCACTTGGAAGAGGAGTGTTCCTGGGCGTTAATTCAGTGCATGATAACCAGCCAAGAGAAAAGAGAAAAGCCAAGAGCAGCTGGGCCTGGCACTGCAGTGAAGTGTTAGAGGGTGGCACTGCTGCAGCCTCTGCTGCTCCTCTGGGGAGAGAAGGACCAAGAGAAGAAAGGATGGACATGAATCTGATGTATTTGTGTTTTCTTGTTACTCTAGATCTTTGAGGATTATGAAAAACTCCTTCATTCTGAGAATTATGTAACAAAGAGACAATCTTTGAAGGTAAAGTCTCTCAGCACTTTCCTCCTAAATTTGTACTATGTGTTGTGCAGAATATCAAGGTACATGTATGGCAATGGAGCAGCAATTTTTCTATTGAAAAAAAGAGCTAAGGGCTTGTGATGCTCTTCCTGAAATGCACAGGAGGTCACTGTGTCTTTTCTTTCCTGGACCTTTGGGGAAGCACTGGGCCATTTCTATGGAGCGAGCACTATCACCTCTCCTCTGAGCTCAGATCTGTGCTTTGGTTCAGAATGTGGGTTACAATGAACTTGAAAGTCTCTGTCTGGTGCACCAAGTGTGACATGGCCTGCACATGGAAGCAGAGGGGTGTGAATATAACATGGGAATGAAATGAGGGACAGCTGCACTACACTTGCTTTTGTCTCAGCTGCTCACACCAGCCCATATGCAGAATCCCTCTCTGTAGTATTTAGGAGATGAGCATTATTGGGCATTAAGTAACCCACTGCATGATAAGAAGTCTAGTTCTTTTTTTTTTTTAAAGGTAGTGACATTGAAACCTCTTAAGCAAATATTGAAATAGGCTGCTGCTTTCTTTGCATTCAAAAATGATGTGGTGAACTGAAAAAAATGTGGTTTTTTTTCTAATCATGCTTACAGCTTCTGGGTGAACTGATTCTGGACCGACACAACTTCGCCATCATGACGAAATACATCAGCAAACCAGAAAACCTGAAGCTGATGATGAACTTGCTGCGAGATAAAAGCCCCAACATTCAGTTTGAAGCATTCCATGTGTTCAAGGTGAGCCAGTATGAGTTTTAGAGATGGCAGACTTTCTCTTCTCATAAAAGTGTCTTTCAAGCTGGGCAAGAAGAAGTCCAGAAAATTAAGGCAAAGGTTGGGGCTTACAGTCACTTGCAGTGTTTGAGAGTGTCATAATTGAAAAGGTTTCTATCACTCAACCTCGGTTTTCTGTTTGCCTGCCTTCAGGTGAGACCTAAAGCAGTGTCATTTTGGTTTGAGCTGGGGGTAGTCAGTGAAGTAGCCATGAAATACAGGTAGCAAAGTACACAACTTCCAGGTAGTATCCAGGGGACCTTCTCCCCACTCTTGAATCATTTTACAATGTGATTCTGGGTAAAGATAAAAAAATAATCTTAAATCTCTATCTTAAGATTAAAAGTAGGTGTGCTGGGCATCAGTGCAAAAGCAACATGCTTTTAAAGGTATTAAAAAGGTTTGGTAAATCTGAGCTTGAAATTAATTTTACCCTTCCATCATTTTGCAGTGACATTAATGCAGTGTTAAACAATTGCCAGACCAAACCAGTGTCCCTTTTTTCATGATGATTAATGTTACTAACTAAAGTTAGAAGTTTACCATTTTCCTATCACAAGAGTTCTTTGCTCTGGAACAGAAGGTAAGATTGTTATGCAAAACTAACTCTAATTTGGAATGAACATGTTAATTTCAAACTATAAATAGAGTTGTTAATTATTACCAGAAGAGGAATTTTGAGCCTCTAAGGATATCCCTTTTCTAAGGTGGCTAAGAAAGATACCAGATAACACCAAAGGACTGTGGAAAGAGGTCACAACACCCTCCACAAATTCAGGGTGACTAGTTGAGTTTTGTACTTATGCCATTTCTGATTTGGAAAAAAATGCTTTCAGATCTTCAGTGTGGAGACTTAGAGAATGTGCAGCTTCTCCAAAAATCTTTAAGTTTTCTAAAAAAAACCAACCAACAAACCCAAAAAAGCTTCAAGGAGGATTAAAAGAAAATTCCTTGTGTGAAATAAGCAGCTTGGTAAGCTGTTCCCTTGCTGGCTTCCTCCAGTCAACTGAACCACTGTGAGTAACTTCTCCTCCTTATCAGGAGGTGTGTGGCTCCAAGATAAGCAAGCAGTCTGGCTCCAGACACTTGCAGCCTTTGAGATGCCAGTGGGGAGAAGGTATTGGAGGATTGGGGTTTCTTAGCTGCTCTGTGAATAAATGCAAGATTTTTATTTATGAAAGACATGAGTTGCTGTTCCTGGATTAATGATAGACATGGACCAGGCCTTGGGAATGGCTGATTTCACTTTTTTTAGGAGGCATTCAAAAGAACTTGGAATAATGTAAAGGGATTCCAGTGTGCAACCATGTAACACAGTGCTGTTCTTCCCAGTCTGCCTTCCCTCTCCTCCCTTCCACTATGTTGCATCCCATTTCCAGTTGGAGTGGGGATATTGCAGGCTCATCCTTGCTTGACCACTTGCAGTTGCTGCCATGTGGACATAATGCTTGGAGTGCCAGCAAAACAAACCATGAGCAGCAGTGGTGTTGTGTCTCTTCAGTCCAAAGGGCCAAACCCTGTTTTCAGACACCTCCGTGGGGTGTTGTTGGTCTTCTCCAGTGGTACCAGTCAGCAGCATTTCAGAAGGGCCAAGGTATTCCCATGGCATTCCTCACACTGCCTCACACACTGTGCTCCCTGTGGGGCAGCTGCAGACTCAGAGCAGAACCTGATCAACTGGAAGTTGCTCATTCACAGCCACCAGCAGCACACCACAGAGTAGCTGCAGAGGTGCAGCAGCTCCCCTTTTAGGATCCTCCTCACCGAGGGTCTGGGTTCCCTGGACATACCCAGATCCTCTCCAGGGGGAAGGGTTGTTACAGGATTTGTTACAGAAAATTGCACTGTGAATTAGCTTTGTAGAGAGGGTCAGAGAAGCTCTTTTCCCTCTGATTTCACTGCTTAAATTGAGTTCTAACTTCTTGAGGACAACTGAAATCCTTATATATTTAAGAGACTGGCTGTTTGTGCCCTGTTCTGCAGTGTCCCTGCCTCCTGTTTCTGGGTTCGTGTCCCTCAGCCTGGTTCTCTTGTCATTTGTAATATTCCATGTTGATGTTACTGGGAGAGGAACCTTGTCCTCAGCTTCTAATCTCATAAATTTTAAACTGTGCCTGCATTTTTAAATTATGCTTGCAAAATACCTATGCAGTCCTGGCTGAAATTACAGTAGAATAACCACAGTGATTTGGAATTAAAGGTCTGCTGAGAAGTGAATACTTGCTGCTCTGTCTGAGCTGCCAAAAGATTTGGGTTTAAATTACCTGATTTAGATGTTTCACCAGTTAGACACAGTTTAAATGAAAAAGTGTTTGTTTTGTAAGCATCCAGACTCCAACACTCCCATGCCCCAGCTGACCCAAAAAAAGGCTTATGACTCTTACTCCCTGAGGCGATTTCTAATTATTGCAGATTTTAAACTGTAAGATAGAGATGAAAGTGATGAGCACTTCTAGTGCAAACTTACTTTGGAGAACATTTTGTGTCTGAAAATGTCAATACCCCCAAGCTCTGAGAATATGTAATTCATCCAACTTACTGTGAGTGGGAAAATTAAGACAGAGTGCCCACTTGCAGTGACTCTTTCCATTCTCCATTTAGGAGATGGCTGATCTTCCTCCTAACTCAGCCCCACCTCTTCTTTTGCCTGAAAAAAATGGACCTTCTGCCTTGCAGCACCATCCTAAAGGCCTGCAGCTGCTTTGTGAAATTGGATGTCCCAGGAAACGTATGCATAAGGATTACCCAGTATTTTATCATGAGGAAAAGCTAACACACCTCACCCCTTCGCTCTTCCTTCATAATAATCCAAGGGGATCACTTAGAGTTGCAGGCTTTGAGAGTCACTGGTTCTTCTCTGCAGTGATTTCAGTGGAGAGAAGGACCAGTCTTGAGCGTGCTCACTTTGGGGGTCAAATATTGGGAAGGGCTCTCCAGCTCCTGTGGTGGGTTTTTGATGTGTTCCACTAGTGGAGCCTACGCTGAGTTTGCCTGTCTGTAGGGGAGGCTGTATCTTTCAGATGTGTGTGAACGTGGTGCAGGGATTCCTTTGACCTCACATATTCACAAACAAAGGGTAGGAACAGCTCTCTTGGATTTCACAATTTGCTGATTTTGAGGAAAACGCCCTGCAGCAGTGAGCTGGGATTATGTGACTTTCTTGCTCTTAAGGAGACATTAAGCAAGATATATTTTACTGTTTAAATCTAAAATTAGAATGGGTACACTGTGTTTTGTGACCTCAGTTTCATTTTTCCATTCTCTTTCATGCACATTACGAGCTACCTCCTGCAGCTTGCTCTGCAAACAGCCTCACATAATTTGACCATACTGACGGTTTGCTCTTGGTACGAAGCTGAGGCCTTGTTTGTGGGGATGTGTCCTCTCTGTTTCTCAGCTGCATAATCTAAAGGGCAAGGGTTATTATGTGAAGCACTGTGCTATAAGGAGCATGAACAGTGTGTGTTCTGTGTGTGCAGTGTCCTGACAGTGACATTGTGCATGACCCCAGAGTAAGTCCTAAATACTCAGTCCGGAGCATCCTGTAATTGTTCTTGCTCTACTCCTGCCCCTGAAGGTGGTAATGCCTGGTTACTAATTGTAAGGAAATAAGGTCAGATTTTCTAATCAAATAATTTTGATGTTTGTTTGCAGAAATACATTAGGACTTTTAATGGAGAAGGTAACAACTGTTCCACTTTGGACAACTTTTGAAGCTTTGGAGTTCATTTTCATTCCAGGCCTTTTGCAAATACTCGTGAAAGGGATCTGTCTCTGTTTTGAGACAGTTATATTTAGAGTTGGATTTTTTATATGGGTGCTGTCTTTATTTTAGGTTTCTGTCTCTCTCATCTATCTGAATTTAGTGCTCTAGAACGTATATCCTTTCATAATAAAACCACGGGTGACACCAAGTTCTCTGTGGTTTGATCCAACTTCATTTTAGTTGAAATGTTCCAGATAGCATTAATAATGTTTCTGTTTTTAGGGACTGATGGCCATCTCTATGCCAATGCAGAGTTCTGAATGAGGGGGACCTTTTCTGACAAAAAGTCTTGTGGTGGTCCTACTCCTGGGTTCTGTGAAACTGGTCAGTTGATACTGGCAGAATTTATTTTGTTTGCTTAGCCAAAGTATTGAATAACATTTCAGGAATTTTCTGGTCCTTGAACATTCTCTCTTTACGAGTCCCTGTTGACACTGAGCAAGACTGGCAGTTGAGATGATCTTTGTTTGAATGTTCACTTTGCCAGTTTTGCAAGGGGAAGATTGTAATCTATAAATAATTGAGCAGGAAGATAAACAGGATGTGATGGCTTCTATGAAACTAAGTTCTTTATTATTTGCTATGGTAATACCAGTGGTAGGTCCAATATGAAATATTATTTACTAGGTTTACCACCAACTTTCCCGTTCTGTTTGCAGAGCAGACAGCTTTTATAAGAAGAATTATTCAGTTTTCTTCATTTTGAGAGTCACCCTTCAGACAAATATTAGGGAGGCCTAATACTCATTGAAGGAAGATGTTCAGCACTTCAAGGTCAGGGCTTCTTCAGTGCCTTCCATTTGCATTGTCATAGATGATGTCTGAGCATGTTGGTGCTGCCAGTGCATTTAATTTCTTCACCTCATCGCCAAGGGGGAACTGAATTCCAAAATAAAAATTTCTCATAAAGGTTAGTAAATCCCTGCCTGTAGGCTTACATCCTGCTTTGCCCCATGGTAGCTCATCCAGATGACTGGGGGCTTATCATAGTCCATATCCTGGAAGTGTCTGTCTTCCCTCAGCATGATCACCTGCTGTAGGTCAGCACACAGGGAGCTGCATCCTGGGGCTGCTCCAGCTGAGAGCATGAAGTGCTGCAGCCTCCTCCAGAGACAAACATTCATACTCAGGAGATCTCAAGATTCATGTTCCTTAGATAAAGCATGGACTGTAAAGCTGTAAAGTACATTCAGATTTACATCCCCAAACCCTTTTTCCTCCAGTCTAGGGGGAGGAAATGCATCAACATCAGTGTATTAAAGTTATTTGCAAAGGAGGAGATGCTGCTCTCAGATCCATCAGCTTTTGAGTGTCCCTCAGGTGAAGTGAGAGCTGTGAACTGGCCATCCCACGCACAGGCAGATGTGTCCCTGGTACAGGCCTGCCCTGTGAGTACTTCAGGCATTGTGCAGGAAAGTGGCTGCTCAGAAGGGATCTTTGGGAGTGGAGGCTGTTAGTGCTGCACTTGAGAAGTTTTAGGTGGCAAGGGGGAATAAAAAGTAATCATTTAGGATGATAGCTCAGGGTAATTAGAGAAGGACAAGGTGGAGGCCTGTGTGTATAACTGTAGATAGTGTACTGTCACTGGGACCATGGCCTGGACACTAGATCAAGGAAAACTTGTAGCACATTTGGGGAGGGTTTACCTAGCATGGTAGAGGTTGCAGCTCTTTCTGCACAGCAGAGGGCAAAGTACCTTGCAGCAGGGACTCCTAGGAGCATCTGAGGAGGAGGGATCCAGAGGAGACAAAAACATAGACATAGATTAACACTATTCTAGCATCAGGATGCCAGGGTTTAAGAGCAGATGCTTTGCTTCACCTTTGTGAAATGAAAAAGCACTTCTAGGTTCCTTTTTAGGCAGAAGTACTCAGTGGGGTACTGTTGGTGTGTGTTGAACCCCACTCCTTCCACATGTTCCCCCAATGTGGCACTTTTCCCACCACTTGTATAACATCCTCTGATTCTGGAATATGAAGTCTAATGGTGGGTCCAGTCTGAACCCTGCCCCACCTTTACCAGGTGTTGTCTTAGGGACAAGAGGCTGTAGCACAGCCCCCCAGGACAGAGTGTGCGTGATTCTCATCAGGTAGCACAGCTCTTCCCTGAGCAGCTGGATGTGGCCCAGGTTCTCCTGTGGATACAACCTCAGGGGAGACAAAGGGACCTGCAGAAGAGCCCGAGGTTGGGAGCCAGCGGTGGTGCCGCCTGTGCTCGGCAGGGCAACATGCCTTTCTGTACTGTCAGCAGATGTTTTCATTCTGGTTTGGACAGGCTTGGAGGGAAACTGGATGCTTTCCAGTTCTGTCCATCCTTAATTTCTTCTCATCGGGTAGAGAATAACTGGAGTTATTTCTGTCATTGCACAAGCGCTCAGGCAGTGTTTGTTGACCAGCCATGGTAACCTCGGTGTGAGCCAGATGTGGGAGCTGCTCCTGGAGTGGCTGGGGTGCTCTACACTTGTGTTCCCACCACAGCCCCGCGCCCCATCTGCCCCTCCTGACTGACATCCCCATAGCCCTAGCTCTGTGGCATCCCGAGGTCCCTGAAAAGAGCCTTTCATTGCTGCCCTTTGCAACCAGCCTTAGGGTTGCACTTAGCCAGAGAAAATGGTAAAGAAACAGTGTTGTGGCATGAGGGGTCCTACTCAGAGCTGGAAAACTGCAGCTTTAGAGATTACAGGAGAAAGAGTCAGAGCATTGAAGAAGGCCACTAAGCCCACGGTGCTGAGCTGGCTGTGCTAGGTGAGCATCTGTGTCTCATGTCACCTTCCTGCACTGCCACCCTCCTCTGGTCAGCAAAGGCTGCAGAGATGCTGGGCACACCATGACCCTCCTGCTCCTGCTGCTGTAAGTTTCCATGCTCCCATGAATGGATTAGGCAGAGGGAAGTGAGGCCTCTGACATACTTTTCCAAACCAAAACAAAGCTGGCAAATCTAATTTTAGGCCTGGTTTAATATGGAAATGATATCAATACTGACACAAAGCTTTTCCATTCTCCTGATAATTAATTTCTGTGTATTTGTCTTGTGGGTGGGAAGAGGCTGAGAATATTGATAGCTCCCTCTCAACAGCTGGGTTTACAGTCAAAAGTTTTTATCACCAAAGACCAAAATGAAAGGGAAGCGATACCACACGCAGGCATAGTTTTGCTTTAATTTTCTGTTGAACCAACATGTTTGAACTCCTGTCTGACTGCCTTGGGACAAGGTGTGTAGCAGTGGAGTATCTGCATGCCAGCCTTCAGCAGACTCGTTAGAAAGCAATTTATGGGGATGTTGTGACTGATGTTCCTCTCTCTCTCTCTCTGTCTATCTCTCTCTGTCCCCACCCCCTCACTGTCTGTCTGTGCCTGATTTTGTTTGCATGTTAGGTTTTTGTGGCCAGTCCAAACAAAACACAGCCTATTGTGGAGATCCTGTTGAAAAACCAACCCAAGCTAATTGAGTTTCTGAGCAATTTCCAGAAAGAAAGGACGGACGACGAACAATTCACTGATGAGAAGAACTACCTGATTAAGCAAATCCGAGACTTGAAAAAGCCAACGGCGTGAAGAACACCTCTTGTTTTCCACTGTAGGCATTAATCTCAGTTGTTAAGTTCCTCTGTGTCCCTTAAACACCACAATAGTGCTTGAGAAGGCACAGCAAGTGCCTGGTTTTTATTTTGTCTTTGTTCCTAGATGTCAAGAGTATAGGGGTTTTACATGAGAACTAAAAAACCAAAAATCTAGAATAATATATTATTTTTAATCAAGACTATAATTATTTATGTCAGTTTAGAATCTCTCTGTGATAGAAGCTGGTTTGACAGATTGGTTTTTTGTGCTCAAGAAGAATGAACTTCTTTGCTTAACTTTATCAGCAAACTCAAGCTCTGGCAAGGGCACAGAGCAGGTCTTCTGAGGACTGTGACGTTGTTCCTTCACACCTGTAGTTGTGACTTGGTTCTAGCACTGCACACACACACAAGACTGTGAAAGAGTACACTAGTCTCTGGAGTTAGCTGCACTTATAGGTCAGGTTCTTTAGTCAAAACTATGGAAGATGAAAAGCAGTAAAGGTCACGTTTTTGCTTCTTTTTGTGTTCTTTCCATCTTTTTTTTTTTCCCCTAGATCAGAGGTTTTCTATTCAGTGCTAGGGAATGGATGGATATATCAGCCATCCGAGCTGTTCCTGCCTAACTCCCATTTCTCTGTGTGTGATCTATCTTGTGCTAGAGCACAGGTTTTTCCTACCAGCTCCCAAGCAGTCTCATGAGGAGCAGCCCCACGTACACAGTGCTCACATGCCCTGTAATGGGAAAAGGCAAGGGCAACCCCCCCATCAAAGGCCTTGCTGTACTGCCGATAAAGTGATCCCCCACCTATGGAAACCATCCATAGTCAAGAATATTGGGTGGTAGCCAGAGCTGCTTGGCTGAATTGTGACAAGGGCTGAGCCTCAGCACCAGCGTAAGGGGAGGGTCCTTAGTGTCCTTGTATCTGAATTCCAGTCCTGGCTGTGCAAGGTGGGGTTGAGCTGAGTTCAGCAAGGGAATCATGAAAAGGCCTCAGCCAGATCTGCCCAGGAGGCCACTGGGCAGCCCCAGGCACCAAAGGCCACCCATAGTCTGGCATTTTCTGTTCTTGTTCATCCTAACATGAATTCAGTTCTGTGTTAAAGTTGTAGAAGAGGAGGTTGTTGCACCAATAATGTTTTGAGTTTATTAAACTCTATGGTACAGACAGTGTTTCCATGGTGTGTTTGAAGAGTTTTTGGGGTCTTTTGTTTTCTAACAGGAAAATGTTACTCTGATGCTTTATTAGGAAGTGGAGTTTGAGAGCAGGGAGTGGAAATTTCTTGAATTTTTCTGGACAGCCTAAGTTCTGAGTTTTCCTATTTGCTGTAAGAAAGTTGTCTAGCTAAAACTCTAGCTAATGCTTCAGATAACAGGTGACACTGAATTGTAAAAACAGAACGAGCCCCTTAGCCCCTTTCTTTCATTGAACTGTTGTGTATTGAGGTAACTGACACTTTAATTTATGTGCTTTAGAAAAGGGAAGAAACAGAACAGATTGTGGTCTCTTTTTTTTTTCAGATGTCAGATACAACAAATGTACATCTTAGTTGCCTGGAATTAAGAAAAAAATATATTTACAAGCTATTAAAGGCATGATTACTGATCACTCTTTATTTCTGTCTCTGGGGTTTTTTTCTCTCTTGCCTTTCTGGATAGCCAGACTCTACAGTGCTAAATTCCTTCTCTCCTTTGCCAGCTGGTTTCAGCAGATGGAGAGGGATGAGCACTGCCTTCAGAGCCAATGGTCTCTGAAGCATCACCTCTGCAGCTCTGGCTGGCAGGAGTCTGGCAACCAGAGCCCAGCTTAGTCTGGCCATGAGCCTCACCCCCACTCTGTGGGTGGTGTTTCCTGGCAGTGGTCACTTGCAGGTCGATAAAGGAGCGTCTCGCAGTCCTCAGAGCCAGTCATTTTTAGTCTGATCCTCTGAGATTTAGAGCCTGGATCCAAAGGGTGCTTGGCTGTATTCTGAGCTCCTGGGGTGGGGCTGGTCTCCAGGGCTGGATTAACACAAAGACACGTGTCCATTGCCTCAGCCTCTGGAGTCACATGAGAACATTGGGATTCCAGCCAGTGCTAGGAAAAAGTGTCTCATGGTGTGTTGCTGGGGAATGCCTGCCCTTGACAAAGTGAGCGTGACCCACACAGAGGTGCTCAGAGAGTCTATAAGGGATCATGCTGTGAGAGCTTTTTCTGCATGGTCTGGACACAGAGGAGCACTTGAAGAGATCCAAACCTGGTGGTAACACAAGGAGTGGGGTTACACCCTGGTGTCTGCATAGGCAGAGATGTGTCAGACCAACAGGGAACAGGGATGGGCCTGGCCCTGTGAAGGAAGGGCAAGAAGTCCATGGCAAGAAGTCTTTGGACCACATGAGAAAGTAAGTGGTAAGGATGGCTTGTGAAAAAGGGCATCTTTGTGTGTCTGTAAGGGTGGTGGGGAGAAGAAGTGGTGTTACAAGTAAAATGGCATATACCAGGGCCTTTGCAGCTTGTCTTACCAGAAATTGGTCCTGCAGTAGATAACACAACTCAAAGTAGAGTTTTCCTCAAGCTCAGCTTGCTTAGATCTTTGAAAGAATAAAAAACATAAAAATTGGTGAAGATTAAATTAAGCACCATAATAATATTTCACAGCAGGTGGGGAAAGATCCCTAATTAAATGAAAATGAGGTCTTTCCTAATGTGACTTTGAAAAAATGACAGAACTCCCAATTTCCTTTGGTGAATTCAGCCAAGGTGGTTCTCCTGCCTAAGGGAATGTTCCCACCAGGAACTCACAATTTATCTGAAATTACTGTCTGAGGGGGCTGTGTTCATCAGAGGACGTGGTTCGTCAGAGTGAAGGCAGGAAAGAAGATTGTAAACTGGAAAGATAAAGAAGCTGGAGGAAGCCTCTCCATTCCATTCTGCACACAGCATTCAGGGGGTTTGGATTGCATGAATGAATCTCTGCCAACATACGATGTACGATCCTGCAATGTCAACCCTTATTTGATACAGCAAAGAGTCAGGAATCTTTAAACCATAAGCTTCTATTATGGGATTTGGGCAGCTTGTGCCGAAATCAGGAAAATCTGATTAGAAGCAGCCACAGGCTCCCCAGAGTGTCCTGGTGTGTACAGCAGCAGGTGCGAACCTGGGAGAGGCCAAGGACTCTGGCCTTCCACAAATGTGGGCGTTAAGACCGCTTGAGCCTCTTAATCTGCATTCTCCAGAGACAAGATCAGATGAAAAGGAAAGAATGACTTGAGCCTCTGCTGTTACCTAATGATAACAGCACTCACAAGAGGGAGAGGAGATCCAGATCCCATTTGTTCTCTGGCATGTGCTTTGCTCTTGCTTTTGAAATTGGAGCAGGGCTAAGAGAACCCAGGAAAGGGGTGCAATGGTGTTGGTCAGTAGAGAAGTTTTTTCTCTGGGCCAACAAAAGCTTCATTTCTCTTTCTGAAGCAGAAGCACTTCAACATTTTGGCTGAAAGCATCTTCCTGCGGAACATCTTATGCCTGGCAGTGAAAGTTGTTATGAGGAAGACAGGATACAGCTTTTGGTCTCTGTGACATAAAAGGGAATTGTATGTAACTCTCCCACTCCTTAACTAAGCGTTCTTGCATAAAGATGCAGGTTTCCATGGACTGACTACAAGGTGTCCCAGAGCCTCCAATGGGAGGTGCAGCCACATGGTGAGAGGGAATTCTGCAAGCAAGAGCTGCTGTGGCCTGGGGAAGAGAAGGAGCTAAAGTACCTGCCATCACAGCCCATGCTGAAGGGAAGCCTTGCTTCTAGGAAAGGCTTCAGTCCCTCAGGTTCTGATGTATAAGGCCACGAGGTACCAGCAGCCCAAGCCAGCTCTGAGCACAGCTGGTGCTGGGCTGGCAACATGGGATCAGGCTAAAGGGAAACCCAAAACAAGGTTAACAGTTTTGGCCGTGTGGTTCAGCTCTAAGCCAAGCGTCTGACAGGGCTGTGACTTCGGTCCAGCTCCCCCAAGAACCCCAGGGAGAGGCAGGCGGTGAGCCCAGCCCTCCTGACTCATGATCCTGCTCCACAGCGCCTGCCTTGAGCTGGCCTTTCTTTCCAGGAATGGGAAAGGAGGGAAAACAATTTAACGACCCATCCCCTTCCTGTGGCATTGGTTGCGAGGGGCTTTCCAAAAAGGGTAAAAATAACCTTTCTCACTTCAGGCTGTGTCGCACTGAGTGGCAGCAGGGGACAGCCTGTGCCGGGGGTGTCGCGCCAGCCACCTGGCACCCCCCACCTGGCAGCAATGACGGCGCATTGGGGACAGGGACGGGTGGGGTGCCAGCACATCCTGTGAGACAATGTCCCTGTCACTGCTACAAGAGTCCCGCGGCTGTTTCCATGGCCCTGCCGGCACTGGCAGCCGCTGGGAGGGCTTTGCTGCTGAGCAGTGGCCCAGGAAAGCCCCGCAGTGCCCTCGCTGTCTGTGAGACTGCAAACCCCTGCTGTGGTGTGGCACATCAGGCATGGCCAGGTGTCCCACACGGTCTCAACCTCCTCCCTCCCCCCGTGTACCAGTTTCACACGTTGGCAGTGATGCCCACAGGGCAGAACCTCCCCCCCAAACACAGATTTGGGAACGAAATTTCCAAATGTCAATGTCCCATGGCCAAAAATGTAGCCTGTGTATTTTAACAGCCACAGTGTGCCAGCAGACACCTCCAGCATGTTGGGCTTTGACAAAGAGTTGGAAACAACCAGGACCTGACTACCAAGGCGACAGGTAGGAACAGTTTTTTGGCTGCATGACAGACACCAGCCCAGTCATGGCATCATAGCCCAGCTCCTCACAGTTAAAGAAACAAAACCCACCCAAATCCCCAAAGCAGCTCTCCTGGGGAGACCTACCAGTCTGGCAGTGAATAATTTCTCCTGAGTGCACGGAGAAGACAGAACCTTGTCTTTGGGGCCATGAAGTGCCTTACTCAACTCGTAGGAATAGAGGCCCTTTATTTCCAAATTGCTGGGTACGTTGCCTCTACTGACGCTCAGCTTTGGCAATGCCCTTCAACTCCCTTGTAGAACAGCTGGCTTGACAAGCGTTTGGAGTCGATTTAAAAATACTGTAGTCAAAGCAGAGCCCGCTGCATCTGTTTGTGCAAACATGCAGCTGGGGTTGGCTTTTGGGCACACCCCGGCACAGCCCTGCCCCGGCAGCCAGCAGGGAGCAAACAAACCCTGTCTTTGCTCAGGCAGATGGTCAGATGCCCAACAGATTCTGTGTGCCTGGGACGAGTGGGAGCCTGCAAGGAGCAGGGCTCTTGAAACCCCATGGGGGAAGTGGAGAAAGGCATCTCCTCCCCATTTTAAAGCTGGGTGTGGGGGAAAATTTATATTCACAGATGAACTCGCCTTGTGGCCCAAGGAATGTCAAGGGCAGAGCCACAATTAGCTCATAGCACAGAGCAGGTTCTTGCTGTGGGCTGACAGGCTTCCTGTCAAAGGCTCAAAGGAAAGTGACACTGCGGACTAGCAGGCAAGAAAGCAGGATGTCCCAGGGGACAGCAGGCACTGCAGAGGGAGGAGAGACATATGTTCCTTCCAACAAAAGACCCAGCTCTCCTGCTAATACATACCACTTCTAGCCATGCAATTAAGCTCCTCTGCTTCCTGCTGGCTTTTGTTTTCTCTAGCTAAATCTGTCTTGCCCCACAATAGGAATGAAAGACCAAATGAAGATGAATGCACTGGAATTCACACAATCTTACATACTTCTTTCAGGTATTTCTGAAATAACATTGATGAAGAGGAAATGTGTCTGTGCTGGCATTTGTGTGACACGTACCTAAGGCCTGGCTCTTGCTGAAGTTATTGTTCAAGTGCTTCATGGTTTCTCCACATTTCTTCAACCCCTTGTTTTTCCTCCAAGTTAGAAATTTAGCTGCCCTGGAGGAAAATTTACTGGCAAAGCAGTGAGGTGACCTCACTGGAGCCAAAGTGCAGATAGTTGAGCAATGAAGGCAAAGAAGGAGGAAAAAGTCTGGCTTAGTTGTTAGTATACCTGTCTTGTGCCACTGAGGAACACGTTGAAGCTGGAACAGACTCCATCCCTCCAACAATGGTCCTGTAGCTACAGGAAGCCACCCAGTCCTGAGACAGAGCCTGGCTCCCCAGGAAATCAAAGTGGAAAATTTCCTGTACACACAGCTGATACTTGGGGTGCAGAAGGTAAATGTCACACTGCAAAATACCCCAGGGAAAAAGCCATACTCAGCATTTTCTTCTGCATGTCTGTTCCCAGCCCAAGCATGGTGAGGCCTGTGCTGCTGCATGCCAAGTGAGAAGGCCTTTTACCTACACAGCATAAGTGCCAGCCAAGATTTTTCTTCCCATTTGAGCTTTGAGCTGCCTTGAGTGTTCTGACATTTACAATGAGCATCAGCACACCATTGTCTTGTTCTATCTGCAGCAGCAGGACTCTCTGGGTACTGGTCACAACCACAGAATCATGGAGTAGTTGGGGTTGGAAGGGACCTCTAGGGACCACCCTGTCCAACCCGTCTGCTAGAGCAGAAACAGGTTGCAGAGGACTGCATCAAGTGCAGTTTTTGGGTTTTGAGTGTCTCCAGGGAAGCA